TTGGAACAGAAGCAATTACAAAATGAAGAAGAAAAAATATTCATATTGCTAAATTGGACGATGATACCCTACCTTCTCGTTCTTTGAACTTGAAGCCAGATTATAAACACTGTGTGACTGCTGATATATCTGATAATACTTCAAATTCTAATGAATCCAATAATACTTCGGTATCTGATATATCTGCTAATGCTTCAGTACAAATGTGCAGGCTTATGCCAAATTCTGATGATACTTCTGAACAGATAGAAAATAGTGCCCATATATACCAGGATATGGATAACCAATGTCCTATATCCCATATCCACCCTGAAATAAATCCTGATAATACTCCCACAAAAGGTGAGTCATCCACAACCTCTTTGCCATAATATACTATCGATGACGATACAGCCAAGACCCTTGATTTTGTAGAAGCGAAACATAAAGAACATGTTAGTAAAGAGATAATGGAGAGAATTCGGGAAAAGAAACTTCAGGAACAAAACTTATCTTCGGATAATAATTCACTAGAACCATCCAATTTATCGTATAAAGATCAAAATTTGGAATCATTCACAATATTGCAACCTATCTCTAGTCACTCTATGATTACCTCCGACAATAGCTCTGACTTATCTGAACAACTTCCTATAAAGCAAAAAATGAAAATTCATGAAATAAACATACAGCCTCTGATACAAGAATTAAGAATAGAACCTTTAGAGGAAGACACCGTTAAAATGGTTAATGTAGATAAAAATTTTACAGATAACCAATCACCTGCAATCAAATTGGTATATCTATTCGAAAGAATTTGTTTTGCAGAATTTAATACTATGCGAGCTAAACAAGATGAAATTGCTAGCTAGTATTCATATAAAAAGTTTTTTGAAAAAAGACATAGTGAAATTTTACCTAACATCTTAAAAAATAAACCACATCTTACAAAACAAAAAGCATATAAGCTAGCGAGTAGTCAAATTTATAATGAAATGTTATGTTATCTTTTAGGTATCTTCCGAGTAAATTTGCGTAAAAAAACACAACTAACTAAACCTATATATAAGCTGTTTAATGAAATTGGAGAAGATAAGATTTTGCGAATTAAGACTTATAGCGCAAATAAACTTTCAAAATTAACTGATACACAAATCGATACAATCATATATGAGGTAAAGTGTGATACTAACCCCACTGCATGAAAAAAATTTACACTCTCACATGACTGAGGTAAGTGCAATACCTGTAATATCTACATCTCAACCCAAGATCTTATCTGAAAAACAGAATAATCCAACTCATACCCATGCTTATTTTCGTGACAAAACATTGGAGCAATATCCTGATATATTTTATGAATATAGTAATGAAGGTGTCGATTATTATAGAATTAATTCTGAATCATTATGCCCACTATGCAAGTTAGATCATGAGGATGGGGAAGGTGTAGAGGGCAATTACGAAGCTGGATCCTACTATATCAAGTATGAAGCATCTGAAATTGATATGATCCAGTACATTGGCCATGCCAGCTCTAATGCTGAAATAATTGTATAAATTTTGTTTATTTGTATTTTCTTGCCAGCTATATATTACTATGCAATAAAGATCGGATCTATATTAATCGAAACACATTTAATATTTTTTTATGCGAGAACC